CGGCGGCACCGCCTGGTCAGTCATGTATTACACCCCATTGGAGAGTGGAGGACGTGGCATTCCTCGCAGCGTGGCGGGACAGAGACGTCTCTAGCCCCTATCCTCTGCGGCGGGGGCGGCGGTCGCCTGCAGCACACTATGACTTACTCTCTGTCGTCGACGGCTGAAGGCCGACCCCATACCATCTCTTCTCGCCCTCCCACTCCAAGCATGCGCGTGGCTCTTTAGGAAACCCAGACCCCCCGCCCCCCCCCCAAAAAAAAAGTGTCGAGCAAAAAAAAATGGTATTCTCTCTCTCTCTCTTTCTCTCTCTCTCTCTCTTTTTTTTGCGATGGTTTCGAACCTTGTTCCATTGCGTGGGCGCTGGGCCGTTGCAGGACAGATGGGCCAGCCCCGTCACGTCGGCCCCGAAGCGCCGAGCCGTATGGAGCCGAGCCGAGCGGCGCCGAGCCGAGCGGCGCCGAGCCGAGCGGCGCCGAGCCGGGAGCCCCACGCCGGAAATCGCTGACATGATTTAGTCGCCGACGCGCTAATCGCCGACGACATGCATCATCGTGTCGCTGTCGCTAATCTTGTCCTCCTGCCCGCCCACTCGTCCGTCCGTCCGTGGAGGGCGTCCCTCATGTCGTCTGCGTGTCTGTCGGTCGCCACCGCAGGTGGTGCGGGCGGCAGGCTGGCGTCCCCGAGCTGGGGGAGCGGGAAGAGACGGGAGAGAGTGAGCGACGTTGTGAGCAAATAGGAGATAAGAAGGCACCTAGCCCCAAAAACTGGGAATGTAAAATTTCTAATTTATCTACTGACTGACAATTGAAATTTCCAGGCCACTTACACGAAACCAAGTGTATGGAGAGGAGGCGGAAGAATTGACAAATGGACGAGAATTCAGAACGGAATGAAGAGGAACAGAATAGGGACAGAGGCTATAAAAATGAAGTTACACCTGGCGAGGACCGAGAGGATGATGAAAAGATGATAGTTAGAGATACAGAAATAAATGGACAAGAAAACACTCAGAATTCGCGAGGAAGGAGGCAAAGACTAAAGAGGCAGCAACAAAGAAAAGGTAATTCCCAAAACTGTATACGTAACACTTTAAGGTACTGCTTTAAGATATGAGAATTAAACACTGTCCTTTTTGTTTGCAGACAAGACTAGGGTCAAATCAAGTGGGAGAAAAGCCAAAGAAAAACTCAAATCCAAATTGAAAAGAAAGCTAAAGAATGCCAAAGGGAAAGGTGAGAACATATTTATAATATTTGAATAAAGTTGAAGTTGAGAATTTAAACTTTAACTTTCTCTTTCGATTTCAGAGCAACCTGAAAGTGCTGGACCATCCGGGACAGAACCAGGGCAGCAAGAAAGCGGACCGCAAATACCGGAGCCAGCACAATTAAAAGTCAGTTTAGAAAGGAATGAAGAGGAAGAACAGAATAGAGACGGAGGAGATGAAAATAAAGTTGCACCTGGTGATGACAGAAAGGGTGATAAAGAGATGATAATTGGTGATGCAGACAGAATTAGACAAGAAAAAACGCAGAATTCGCGAGGAAGAAGGCAAAGACTGAAAAGGCAGCAACAGAGAAAGGGTAATTTCCAAAATTGTGTACATCACTTTAAGGCATTGCATTAAGATATGGGAATTAAACACCGTCCTTTTTGTTTGCAGACAAGACTAGGGTAAAATCGATTGGGAAAATAGCCAGAGAAAAAATCAAATCCAAATTGAAAAGAAAGCTGAAAAAGGCCAAAGGCAAAGGTGAGAACATATTTATAATAATTGAATAAAGTTGAAGTTTGAGAATGAAAACATTAACTTTTCTTTCAATTTAAGACCAACCTGCAAATGCTGGATCAGGGACAGAGCCAGGGTCTGGGCAGCAAGGAAGCGGACCTCAAACACGAGAGCCAGCACCAAACCTGTCAAAAGTAAGTCGATCATCAATAAATTTTGAAAATGACAAAGCCGACTCAACATAGTTACTAAAACAGTGTGGTTTTTACAGGAAACAAAATGGTTAAGCCTACAGTAAAACTTTTTTTGGGGGGAGAATATTCCAGATTTTTGCTTAAACTTTACACTTTCCTCATAACACTTCGTGCAGTGCACAAAAACTGCCAAATTATTGATCACACAACACCGATATTCAAAAACTAAAACATTTGCAATTCTGAAACTTCTAAAAAGAACTAGAAACACATTCAATTCAACGTACATAATAACACTGGAAAAACAACTGTGACATGCGCCACATGTTTTCATGCGCTCTCAGAAAAGAACACTGTGAAAAATAGTAGGTAGGTTTACAGGAAAATTTTCCTTGACGCAAGTTGTAAAATTACAATTTGAAACCTTAAAAGTACATGCATTACGTATCAACTTAAAATCCATTGGCTAGTAAAAAATCTGCTCTCGTAAATTTACAACTTAAATTATAAATCGAGTTTACAAAAATTCTGTAAATTAACTACGATATTTTCACAGTGAGCGTTTCTTGATGCACCCTCCCCTCCTCCATGTAACAGAATGGGGGCAAGAGGGAGAGTGCATCAGGAAACGTTCTCTCTGGAGAGCGCATCAAGGAATGTGACACATGTCATGTTAGTTTTTTCCAGTGAACATGCATGCCATGACGTGAATCATATCTGATTGAATATCTGTGATGTAAGCTTCATTTTGTTTGAAATGCCGGCTATGATATTACATTGAGGCCATGGCGCCCATCCAGAAACATTGGATAAAAACCCGTAAAAATAATTGGCAACTGAAAAATACACCATAGCAATCAAATCTCAGTCATCATTGTCGTTATTCTATATACAACTATTTTGGCCCGCCCCAAAACTAGGAATAGTCAGAGTGGGGTCAAGGAGGCACTATTCATAGAGATGCTTGGAATGGAGAATGAGCAAGAGGGGCTGTTTGTACCACGCTGTACTGTGGGGATGGCTGGTTACGACCATCAGGTGAAACGCGGCCGTAGCAGCGAGTTGAGCGCGGGCATGAACGAGGCAGGGTGATGAGCGGAGAGGGATGGAGAGACGCACAGCAGGTGGGCCGAGCACAAGGGGTACGGGACGGGGGCCCTCTCCCTCTTCCTTCGCCCCTTTTTTGATGAGGTGTACTGCTTCTCCGGATCTCCTATCTGTCTCTCTATCCCAGCCACCCCCCCTCCTCCCTTCTCTTTTCTCCTATACGCTGTACTCTCTCCCTCTCTTGCGCCGCGTATATCAAACCGGATGCTGTCGCAAAAGTAGGAGGGGAAAGGGGCGAGGGAGCGGCGTGCTCCACGGTGTGCCTTTCTTTGTCTGAGAAAGTATAACCCATTACCGAGATGTGCGCAGCGCCCCGCCCTGCCCCGCCCCGCCCCGTCCCGCCACTACCGGCTCGCCGCGCGTGGTACGGCGCGGGGGCGACCCCCACAACTGCAGCGCGCCCAGCCCGGAGATACGCGGCTCCGCCAGGCCGCGCAGAGGATTGGCAGCAACAGCGTGTGCCAACACAATCCCGTTAGTGCGAGGCAAGTAAAAACCGTCGTTGGCTCCGGCCAGGCAAGGGCGGGGCGGGGCCAGACGACGGCAGAGCAAATCGCGTTCAGATTGGCGACAACTAATTCCCAAGTTGGTGCCGTTCAGTTACACGCGGCCCGAGTATAGTGCGGGGGGAATTCTGTTGGGCGAGATAAGTGTGCTACACAATGACGTGGGGGAGGTATGGGCGGAATGGAGGGAGAAACTGCACGTCGATTGCCCGCAGACCCGGTGACGGTAGCTTGGTCCTTATTGCAGCCTTTTCATCAAGAAAAAAACAACCAAAAATATTGGCCCTACTCATCCAGTTTTTACACAGGGGCCGATGGGGAAGAGTCAAAGAGAGGAGACGGGTGCTTGGTGGTTAGCCTGTACTGCACCGTAGATGCCATACGAGCGGAAAGTTTTCCGAGTCCTGGAATCCCTTCGAAAGAACCAGATTCATACGCCTTTACACGATCCACACGAGGTTAACCGCAACCCCACTGGTGCTCGGTTGGAACTCCCAGGGCTCGCGTTCCCAGCCGAACCTTTGGTACCCTCCTTGTCCCGAGTCTCGAGCCACCCCCGATTTCTGTGGGGTGCGCGGGACCAGGTCGCCCTCTTCGTCGTCCCCCGACGACCCCGTTGTGCTGGTATGGGTTTTTCCGGGTAGGAAATTCCTTTCTCGCGTACCACCTCGCCCTGCCCCGCCCCGGTACGCCACCGCAGCCTAACCCCCTCGGGCCGTGTTGCTAGGCACCCCTCACCTCCCACCCTCCCCCGCCGCCGCGCCAGTGGACGTAACTCGACAGGCGAGTGATCGAGCTTGTTATGCAGATGAGCCGTAGGCGATGTCATGGCTGCCGGCTGCCAATCCACCCCGCCCCGCCACGCCCGTCGCTACTCCAGCAGCGCAGGCTCTACACCACCACACCGCAACGTCATTCCGCTCGAAAAACTATGGTGACTGAAAAACAAGGAACTGTGCGCCCTCGGTGGCGGGGCGGGACAGGGTGACTACCCGCCAGAGAAGCCCCTGCTTCCACCTCCTACCTGTCGTAAGGCGAGGCTGCGGATGCACATGCGAGAGTGGTGGAGGGATTTGAAGGGGAGGGGGGCGGAAATAGCTCCCGGGGCGCTCGCACAGAAGGTTCATCCGCGAGGTGTGCGGCAAGAAACTGCATTGTGCGAGCAGCTAGTAGGCCCGGGGCGGCGCGGGCCGGTGCGGGGTGGCGCAGCAGGCGGCCTGGATTCGCGTAGCATTCACAGAACTTGCCCAATTATACACAGTGGCCGACGACAACGCTTTGAGCTGAGCGCCTCTGAGCTGCGCTCTGTAGCGAGCGTCCCTGAGGCCCCCGGGGGCTGAGGATTTAGGAGAGAGAGAGAGAGAGAGAGAAAGAGGGGAGAGGGGAGGGTGCTGGGAAGGCGTGCACTTAGCCTGTAATAATGAGGTGTGACAATGCCGGGGCTACTGCCGCGGGCGTGGCAGGGCGGGGCGTGGCGGGGCATGGCGGGGCCGGGCGGGGCGTGGCGGGGCGTGGCGGGGCGTGGCGGGGCATGGCGGGGCGGGGCAAGGATAAAGGCAAGGCGTGGGAAAGGGATTTACACAAAAAAGGGGGTAAAACCAGCTGATGACGTCTTTGTCACGACGATTACTTTTTTCGAAAACAACAATTATTATTTTGTAGGAACGATATTTATGCTAATGGGGAAAACTCACTAGTGCAGGTTGTCGCGACTTTGGGAATGCTCGGCAATTTAGGAGCAGCAGTCCTGTCCCTATTTCCCATAAAAGTGATCGATGTTGCGGGGTGTGACACGCGCCGATAATGTTTGTATAAGAAAACATAGCCAGACAGCTGCGAGTGACGGGAGGGGGGTCGGCCTGTTCGGTTGTCGCTAATAATGCTCACACATACACACAACACACCCACACCCCTCTCTGACACACACAACACTCACACGCACGGACGCACGCACCGACACCCCAATGTCACATCGCCTTCTGACAAAGGCCGCTGCCTGGCTCAGAGTTCTCAACAACACTGTAAAAAAATTGATTCGATTTTGTCGGTTTATGTGAATTATTGTTACCTCACTGTGAAAATATCGTCGTAAATTTACAAGATTTTTGTAAACTCGAACAATTTTTACTCGCCAATGCATCTTAAGTCGACACGTAATGTATGTATTTTTACGATTACGGGTTGTAATTTTACAACTTACGTCAAGGAAAATTTTCCTGTAAACCTCACTACTATTTTTCACAGTGATAAAATGAACAGAGGAACTAAAAGGTCAGAGAGGGAACTAACCTGTGACTGTTTCCCAGTTCCAGAGAACTACAAGTGCATCGCGGCTGTCGTTCTGCGTTCCTCGTTTAATAGTTAATATATTCCTTTGTGTATCGTCTTTAAGTCTTGTAAAACTTTTAGTCTACCCAAGCCCGTCGTTTTGTGAGTACTTCTCGGTGTAAGTATTATAAAAAGTAGGCAGTGAAGACCACTGGTTCTCAGGAAAATAATCATGAAAACCGAGCAAAGGGTGCACCAAGTTTTAACAGGGTCTGCCACACCCCGCAATGCCGCGCCTCGCGCAAAACCTCATTAAGGCATTCCAAGCCCGCCGGGCCGCGGGCTAGGAAGCAGTAGCACTACTGTTCGGCACACACGCGCGCAGACAGACAGAACACACGTGACCCGAGGCTCGCACACACGGCTAACGATGCTGTTAGCCGCTTCCTTTCCCAGCCTTAGGCAGGCAGCCAGGCGTAGGCAGGTGTCTCGGCCGATCGAAGTTTTTGTGGCGGCGGCGGTGGCGGTGGCGGTGGCGGTGGCGGTGGCGGTGGCGGCTCCAGCCAGTACTCCCTGACGTTACTCTGCAAGCGGACCTGCATACAGAACAATTGGTTATCAGTGCTAGTGCTAGCGCTTTACCTTCGACTTTAAAATTTAAAAACTGTCGTACTCGCGCTATGAAGCTCGGATAACTTCGAAATATTTGTGTTGCGCTGGTACGTGGGAGTTTGCTTCATAACTTGGCGAGCGCCCGCAGTTGGTGTGGGCGCGGTAGGCGCCTCCCTCCCCGGCCACAGGAATGCCCGCTAGTGAGTGAGTGAGCGGGCGGCTCGCGCGCGCTGCTGGACGAGACGCCGGGCGCGTAGGCCGGCCCGCCACTGCACAGTGGCCGCCGGGGATGCCTACCCTCCGAGCCGCAGGCGCTGACTGCCCCGAGCACACCGACTGTGAGTGCTGGGCTCACAGTGACGGGCAGTGGAAGGGATGTGTGTCACTGAGTGGATTCGTGTCCTTTTATTTCCTAGAACGTAAGGAATTATTTTTTGCACACCCTTATACGTTGATTTGAACACTTCTGAGCATTTGCGCGTATCAAATTTGCCAGAGATGAATAAACTTAGGTTTAAATTCAACACAAAAACATGCAAATACATTTAGCATGTGGTG